ATTATGCTGGAAATAGAAACGTTCACCAAGCCACGTTCATTTTTGCTAAACAAAATGTTAACACCGTCAATGGAGTGCTTAAAGCAGCTGTTGTGGTGTTTGGAGCTTCAGTCATAATGAACAATGGTTGCGTGTAGGCAGGGCTGTTTAGTCGTACGCAGAAGGGAGAGAGAAAAAGGAAAAGTCTTTTTATGGGTTTTGCCACAGCTAAGGTTATACAGGAGCATAGTCCACATTTACTGCATACGATAAATATGACAATACATTTTGCTGCCCTACTTTGGATACTCATTTATTAGAGCAATAAATTATTCCGGAGTTCTAAAACAGCACCATTGATGAGGTTGCCCTTGCCAATGAAATATGCATGCAGAGTGATCTAACCGTGAATGTGCAATTAACTGACTCCGGCAAAAATATGAAAGAAAAATAACTTCTGACTTACCGGAACATTCCGATCTTCACTTTGTTTGTTATTCCAAATTTTTGGGTACTTGCATTAAGTTGTGCAATGGAGCATATTTTCATTCCCACTTTAACTCCATGAGTTTTATGGTATCACTAAACAGCTACTTGCAATAACAGCATCAGCGTTCGAAGTTATAGCTTCATTTCATCTTTACAAGGCTTATCAAATCATTAATATAAGCATGCAAACTGATTTCCAACGCGTAGTTATGAATAAGACCTTAAGTGCACACAACACTTTTAATTAGCTCAGTTGCATGTAAAACTGCTTCACCAAGTGGTGCAAACGACAGTGCGCCATCGATAAGCAAATTGTCATTATCTCGGCGCACAGGTGAGTCTGAAAAAAATGGAAATAGAATGGACTAACCTTGTTGAAAGCGACGAAGGCGAATGTTGTGGCGAACCAAGCGAAACTGGGAGTGCGCCAGAAACGGAAGGAGAGACCAGTAACGAGAAGAGCTGAGGGAACTACAATGAAAACTTTAAAGAGAGTGTAGAGGCGCTGGAGAGTGACGGGCCAAAAAAAGGCTTCAAGAAGCCAAACAGGGAAGTGGTTATAAGGGAAAAGGCTAGAGTCGTAGAGAGTGTCATTGAGCGCCAGAACTCCCTCGAAAAGATAGATAGGATAGAAGTGAGGTGAGAAGTTGTGCCAAAGGTCGACACGGATAAAGTGGTAGAAGTACGCACGGTCCAGGAAGATCCATCCATAGGCAGCGTAAGCAGCCCATGTGAGTCCAGAAAGGGAAGCAAGACTTGCAAGTCCAAAGCACCAGTGACGTCTCGTGGGCTTAAGATGGAGGATGGGATAGGATGGGTCGCAGAGTTGAAGATAGATGACAGGCGTGTAGATGACAGGATAGAGCTTGATGTGGACACAAACACCAAAAAGCAGCCCCGATAGTACCACGCGGTTCCGTAGGAGACTCCACAGGCAGGCGAGTACACACACTCCCACAATCGATTCCGCATTGCCCCGCACCGAGACGGTCGCTGTGACGGGATTGAACAGCCAAATGGCACCGACAAGCCAAGAGATTGTGTGTGTGCTTATCGACTGACTCTATTAATGAAAGGTACCCATTGATGATGGATTTTGAACTAAAAAGCCAAGTGCCATAAAATAATATTCAGACGCAAGCAACTTGGGTCGTATCGACCTCCTAACCAAATAAATGGGTAAAGATTCGGAACAGATAGTCTTATTGGCTGATGCATTTGAGTGAAAAAGTGTATGGTAGATATTTATGAGCCTGGTTCTACAAATTGTGAGTGTGACATAGACCCATTAGGTTAAAGAACGGTTATGCTTTATACAAACCAAAATAATAGGTAGTGAATGCCTACACTGATCGCTCATTGGAAATTTCCTAGAGAGCGGAGCAGAAAACATTATGAGAATCCATGCAACGAGTTCATCAAACAAAACTTATCAGTTTATACGGGAATTCTAGTGATAAATAGACGTGCTTCTGCTAATTTGATGA